GGCAATCATGCTTCTTGCCAGTTTCTGTGACTTTCTGAACATATGACGGTGTCTATTTCTGATTTTTCAGGAGCTTCTCTGTTGAATGTACTGATTCAAAACAGTTCATGCCATACTTTACCTCTCTTTTAATATCCTGTGTTTTTAGTGAGTTTTATTGAAATTGATGGGTTTCCTGGTGCAGAGCCCTGCTTTCTAGCCCTAGCCCCTGCCCCTCCCTTATACACCCATCCCTAGGGACCAGGCATCAGCAATCATACTTGATTAGCATGGGAAATGCATCCAGAACAAGGCACAACCAGGAAGACACAGACAATAGAAGTCATAGGGTTAGCATTGCATACAAATACAGTGTTTCTTTTCACTGTCCTGAAGATAGCCAAAAGGACATAAAATAACCCCTACAATAGCTGGTGTGGACCCCAGGAGCACCAGCGGGTAGAGGGTACAGTGACAGACTATGAAAATGGACTCGGCTACTGTTGTTCAAATGTCTAGGATAGAGCCCAGAACATAGCCCAACACTGAGCAGCAGCACTAGAATGTGTCAGTACTTCCTAAAGATTTTGCTCCAGTTGTAGTATGTACTCTTCCAAGAACAAAAAGCTGCCAAGTAACGTTATTTCCCAACACCATGGATTTATAGTACCTTTTATATCTGCAATTTGGGTTCTCTGTTAACAGCATGAAAACGAAATAAATTGTACTTAAGTAATTTAGCTATGAGCTGACGGCAAAGAGATAAATAATGCCATCCAAACGGTTAATTATAGTTTAACATAACTCCACATCTGCAACCAGTGGAGTCACTCTCATCTGATGTGTCTGGGCATCTTCTAGTCTCATTTTGATATGGGTTCACAAGCTTAAGAGCACAGGGAAAGATCCAACTCTCATGAAAATGTGTAGACTGAACAAGTCAACTTAGAAATAAAATCCCACTCAAAACTCCAACTGCATGCCTGCCTGAAGCCACTGTTCATCTTAGATGAACACTGAGGGCTCTGCAACAGAACTCTACTACTAAAATTCAACTCTGACCTTGGAAGAACTACATTAGAGACCTTGGTTTACCGGAGAGTCTTTTTCTCTGAGGAGAAAAGGAGACTGACCATAAAACATATCAATACTGCACAATGCCCTGTGGCCAGAAAAAAATGCATTTTTTTTCTCTCAACAAAAGGGAATCTTTTATCTTTTGTGGACTTCCAAAGCTTGATTTATAGTTAGGTACAAAGTTCACTACTTTTGGAAGTTTATAGAAAAATTATTAGAACAACTAATTTAAAATTTCAGGCACAGACTTGAACTACCCATCCAATATTCATAATTTGTTTTTTCAGTATGAAAGTTTCTCATAGTGAATGCCCCACAATTGTCTCACTCAGTCATCACAGCCATTTAAGACCCAACCACTCACTAACTAGCCGTGTTTTCCCAGCCCTGGATACCTGTCAATCATCTGTTGTTTCTAGGCACCTTTGTCTGGGTAATACAGGAACCCACTAGATAGAGGCAAATGATTAACATCACATTGTGAGTGAAAAATCCTAATGGCCAGCTCTGTGCTTCTTATGGCTGTACTGTCTGATTCACATGAGAGAAGACCTAGGTAATACTCTTTAGGGACAGGGGTTACTTTGTTTTGAATGGCTCCTCTCAAAACTGCAAAACCCAACTTTCTGTTTATAGTGCTACTCTTTTTAAAAGAAAATCCTGTACAACTGACTGCATAGGGAGTTCAAAGATCCCATCATGTACAGTGGACCTACAGAACTCTACGGGGCAGATACACTGCAGGCTGCAAGGAAAAGTCCTATTCAGTGATATCGTAAGCAATGCTTTAAAAACTTGCAAGAGCTGGGTCTTTATAATGTCACAGAAGCTGAGTGAATGTGGAGGAGTGAATCTCACAAGGGTCCTGGGCATGTAAGCTGAGTTGTTGTTCTTTTATTTGATTTTGGTTTATGGGGCCCATGGAGGAGGCAGAAGCTTCTGGAGAAGATGTAGTCTTCCTGAGCAGAGCCCTTGAGCAAAACCATGCTTTCAGGTCTCCCTTGCAGAAGAGCTTCTGCTTCCTATCGGTCCATCACACCCCAGGAACGGGGATTCCCTGTGATCTGAAGCAAATCCGGTACAAGGCAGTGTGTGCAATAGATCTGCATATGAACTTTCCAAGCTCCCTGTCTGCTTAGGTACAAGTGGCTATCTCAGGACACCTGGTGCTGCTTCTGTCTCCTTTATTTCAGACACAGAGTGGTTGAATCCTCTTCTGAATCACAATTCATTTGTGGAACTGCAGAACTGTGTCCACTTAGGTTATCCCAGTTGGATAACTTTGGTTCCACAACGGGTTGATCTGTGCAGTAGGTTCAAATGTGTGTATTGGTTGCAATGGGAGGGGCACCACCCTTTCTTCGATACCAAGCTGTCCCTAAGAGCACATATTCTTCATCTTCTGCAGACACTAGTGAGGGATCATATGTCAAAAATGTTGGATGTGGGCTCAAAGGAGCTGTATGCTGCTAAATCCAATGCCACTTTTGTGCTAAATCTGAGGCAGCAGCAAAAGAGCATTTCTCCAGCATTACTTCCGAGAGATGAATTTTTCTTTTATTGGGAGAGAGGCTTTGGCTACTTCCTGTAAATTCTCATGTGGAAACACAAACCCACAGAGAGTAGGAGTCTCCTCTCGAAAGCCTTGTTCTCAGGATGGCACGCAAGTCATTCTCCTTCTCAATGCTTATTTCAACAACCTGAGGGAACCTCTGAGGCAGAGTTTTTGTTTCATCTTGAAAAGGTCTTTGAAAGGCTGACTCCCAGCTGTAAGGGACTGCTTTGGTGTTGGGGAGTGGACTCTCCCAGACTGATGCATTTCTGTCTGACACACACACACCTGCTGGAGCTCATGTCTACATGTATTGGGTTTAGTTGTGTTGAGATCACAGTGCGCTTTGACAGGAGGGAATTTCTTTATAGGTTTTCTTCAACTTTCTATAAAGGAGGTCCTCACTAGCTTTTTGAGTAAGTCCCAAGACAGGGGCTTCAGTTGGAACCTCCTCCAGTTTTCTCCATGCTGGTAGCCCTATGGCTCACACCTGATCCCTGTACTGATCAGGAATGGGAGCCTGCTGAAGGCCTGTAGAGAACTGGTCAGCAGTTCCTGAGAACATCCAGAAAGTGACAGGGACTGGGGGCTGAGCAGCCATAGAAATAGGATAAAATAGAGGCATCTGAGACTGCTTCAGAGCCATTAATCCCTTCCATCTGAAAAGGTCAGAGTAGCCACACCTGTGAGCATCTCTGAGCTCCTTCTGAGAAAAGGTAATGGCTAGCACCTGGCCCCAGACTTTGGTAGAGGATTCCTGCCTACCCCCAAGTGTGTACACCTAATCACAGTCCAAAGGCATAGGAGAGAATGTAGGGGATGCCTCTGAAAAGGATTAGTAGGATATGGGGGAGTGGCACCTTGGCAGGCCAGGGGGTGCTGCTGTAAGGGACTAGGGACAGATACAAGGGCTCAGGCTGGCATAAGGGACTGGGGTTAGGTTTGAACAAGAACTGCCCCATAATTTATGGGGGAACAATCACCCGAAGATCAGTTGGCCCATCATCATTCTTCTGTTAGAGAGGCACAGATTCCTCACACGGGGCACCAGCTGGTCTCTTCCTGGGGCTAAGCAGATGAGTGTTAACACTCGGAACCCCCTGTCAATTACCAGAGAGAACCACACTGAGTCCAGAGACTTGAAGCAGTCTCATTTTATTGTAGCAGGCATGTACTTACATAGCATTGTGAAGAAGGGTGGAGATCTCAGGATGGGGTGAGGTGTGAGAGCCAATATTTCACATTAGCAGTAGGGCAGAGGCAGTCACTCCTGGGAAATGATAGGCCAAAGACAGGTTTCCAAACTCTAGCCAGGCACAGAGTTCCACAAGGCCTTGTGTCCAGGCTTTTTTAGGCCCAACAGCCCCTAGTGACCCCTCCCAAACCCCACACCTCAACACCCACTCCAGAATGGGAAATAAGTCCCTGGGCAGGTGTTTGTATTCAGGCATCTGTACTGTCCTGCCCTTGTGGTTCTGACAGGATATGCCCATAGCTGCAACCACCAAGAGCACCACCAGTACACATTCATTGAGTTCCCTTTTAAATGGGCCTGGCCTACTTCTGATATTTCCTCTGTTTCTTATTGGCCTGCCTGTCTGTCTCCATCTCTCTCCACATCTTTCTCTTCAGCAGCTCCTGTTCTCTCAGGCTGTTTCCATCTAACCACGCCCCTCCCATTCCCTTTTCCCTAATAAAAACCCCTACACACAAGCTGTTTCTTATGGTGTTCTTCTCTTTTTAAAACTGAAATAGGGGGAGGAAGGGGGAAGGGTTATTTGCCAGGTCACCCTTGAATTTTTTGGTGGTCCAGTTTTGGAACTAAGTAAAGTAACTGTCAGATAAAATGCATTTCAGGGAGATGACATCCAATAAATGAGAAGACAGGGAAATTATAAGAGCATGTTTTTATACGGCTGGTCAGAAGCATGAATTTTGTGATGCACAGCAAAATTAGAGACAAAATTAAACTTTGTCTGCATTATGATTGTTTAGAGACAGGATTAATGTAATCCTTGTTGTCTTGGAACTAACTGTAATCAGGAAGGCCTCAAACAAAGACAAGCCCCTCACGCTGTCTGATGAATGAGGGATTAAAGGCTTGTACTATCATGCCTGGCATTGTTAATGAATCTTTGGGTGTGGAACAAAAGATAAATGTTTTATGACAGCTTTTCCCAGGGGCTGGAGATATCACTTAGTGGTTAGGAGCACTGAGTGCTCTTTCAGAGGACAAGAGTTCAATTCCCAACACAGATACAGCAGCTCACAATTGTCTGGATCTCCAGTTGGGGGCATTATGGCCTCCTCCTATACCAGGACTTCATGGAGTGCACAGCAAAACAAGCAGGCAAAGCACCCATACACAGTAAAAGAAATAAGAGGCTTTTACTGCAGTAACATTGGGAGAATTTTAATCTGGCATAAACACTGTGATATTTTCTAAGACTTAAACCTCAATAAAAGTTTTCACAAGTTTCTTATCTTTATTTCTATTATATATACTGTTGTTATTTGTAAGCAGAAAATGGTATATCACAGTATTTACAATGGTATTTTTCTCTCCATCTGTTAAGACTTGTAATATGGGTATAGGAAATGCCAGCCTTAGCATTTGTAAGGTTTCTTTCCAGTATGGATATTCTGATGTGTTCTAACTTGTTTGCCTCTAGTAAAAGATTTGTCACATTGCTTACAATGGTAAGGTCTCTCTCCAGTATGAACTCTCTGATGTTTTATAAAATGTGACATCTTGGAAACGGACTTGTCGTATTGAATACACGTGTATGGTTTCTCCTCAGTGTGAACTGAGATGTCTTCTAAATTGTGCATTCCAGGTAAAGGACTTGTCACATTGCATGCATTTGTAAGGTTTTTCCCCAGTATGAACTCTCTGATGTGTTCTAAGATCTGAATCCCAGGTAAAGGACTTGTCACATTCCATACATTTGTAAGGTCTCTGTCCAGTATGAACTCTCTGATGTCTTCTAAGATCTGAGCAATAGGTAAACGATTTGTCACATTCCAGACAACTATAAGGTCTCTCTCCGGTATGAACTCTCTGATGTGTTCTAAGATGTGAGTCCTGGGTAAAGGATTTGTCACATTGCTTGCAAATGTAAGGTCTCTCTCCTGTATGAACTCTCTGATGTGTTCTAAGAAGTGAGACCTGGGTAAAGGATTTGTCACATTCCATACAACTGTAAGGTCTCTCTCCAGTGTGCACTCTCTGATGTCTTCTAAGACCTGAGCAACAGCTAAAAGATTTGTCACATTCCTGACAAGTGTAAGGTCTCTCCCCAGTATGAACTCTCTGATGTCTTCTAAGACCTGAAGAACAGTTAAAAGATTTGTCACATTCCTCACAACTGTAATGTCTCTCTCCAGTATGGACCCTCTGATGTCTTATAAACTGTGACATCTTGATAAAGGACTTGTTACAATCCATACATTTGTAAGGTTTCTCCTCAGTGTGAACACTCTGATGTCTTCTAAGTTGTGAGTTCAAGGAAAAGGACTTGTCACATTCAATACATTTGTAAGGTTTCTCCTCAGTGTGATCACTTTGATGTCTTCTAAGTTGTGAGTTCCAGGTAAAGGACTCGTCACATTCTATGCATTGGTAAGGTCTCTCTCCTGTATGAACTCTCTGATGTTTTCTAAGGCCTGAGTCCCGGGTAAAGGACTTGTCACATTCTATGCATTTGTATGGTCCCTCTCCAGTGTGAACTCTTTGATGTGCTCTAAGATCTGAATTCCAGGTAAAGGACTTGTCACATTCTATGCATTTGTAAGGTCTCTCTCCAGTGTGAACTCTCTGATGTCTTCTAAGATCTGAATCCCAAATAAAGGACTTGTCACATTCCATACATTTGTAAGGTCTCTCTCCAATATGAAATCCCTGATGTCTTCTATGATTTGAGTCCTGGGTAAAGAACTTGCCACATTTGATAGATTTGTAAGGTTTCTCCTCAGTGTGAACATTCTGATGTATTCTAAATTGTGAGTTCCAAGGTAAGGACTTGTGACATTCCTTATGTGTGAAAGGTTTCTCCACAGTATGAAGGCTTTGGTGTATTTTACAAGTAGAAAGCTGGGTGAAGGATTTTTCACTAACAGTGCTCTGGCAGGGTGTAATTCCAGTATAAATTCTCTGATGATCAGTGAGGTAGGAGGCAGTCCTGAAGCATTTCTTGAATTTCCCACACTGGTGTGCATTTTCTTCAGAATAGATTGGTTGTTGCAAAAGCCTGGATGAAGAACTCTCATCACCTTCCTGCCTATGCTCTTTCTTTGCAGTGTAGACTCTCTGATCTTGAGTAAAGTTGGAACAAACATTTAAAGATTTCTCCCGGTCTTTAGATTGGCAACTTCCTTCTCCAGTGTGCATGCTTTCATGTCTATCTGAGTTTGATGAGTCAACAGAGGCATCCCTGTGATTACTGCATGTGTAGTTATTAGAGTTTTCTGTAGTTTCACTTGTTCTATAAAGTGCACATGTGGAGGGATCATGCAGCACTTTGCCAAAGACATTACACTGACAAGACTCCTTTTCAATCTTCACATATTGATGACCAGGAACACATTTGCAATAGTTCTCTGAAAATGAGTACAGTAAAGATTAATAGGGCTTGTTCCAACAATAAACATGTATTAAATGACTGTCTTCCTAAGTTGTCATTTAACTTACGTGAACATGGAATTATTTAGTTTAGAGCATCCAGTAATGGACAGTTTCCATTCACTATAATTTTATAGATTTTCACAAACACAGCATAGCAACCTTCAAAGGTCAGTGATTTAAAACAGATATCTCATCTTTATCAAAAATCTCTAACTGGAAAAAGATGGAAAAAATAATTGATGGCCTTGAATTAGCTGTAGGACAGAGCTCACTGAGGGATTATATCTAGAATACATGTCTTTATCTTTAAATCTTTCTTCTTAGAAAGTGATCAAGAGGAGTGTAATTCAAAACCAGGCTTACAGTGTTCATACTTAGTAATGGATGCAAAGACAATATTCTTAAGACATCACAGGCTTTAGCTCATTTCAGCCAGGGCTGTTGTGGGCAACTATTGCTTATTTCTGTCAGTTAGTCTCAGAGTCCCACACACCACTGTGTTTCCTAACTTTCCTCATAGGGTTATTTTCAGGTCCACTCTGACTCCTGAGATTATTTCCCACAGGATGTATGTGTATCCATCACCAGGGATAAAATGAAGGATATGATATGAAGATATGCATACAAGGAAGGCAAGTATAGAATAACATTACTTCAAAGATCCAAGTTAGACTTAAAAGTTTGAAAAATTATTCCAGTCCAAATCCAGCACAGTCAAATAAAACTACAATTTTAGTAGTAATTAATCACCACAATACAGGTGTAATAAGACAGAAGGCTTTCTGACAGTTATTACAGCAGACAGGATACATCCTGGGGATAGGACACTACAATAAGTTAAATGACCAGGAATCATATCAAGTGGAATTCAATATCAAAAAACCATTCTCAGCTCTTGCTTTCTCTTTCACTTGAGGCCTTCACTGTTCCCTGGCTCATTCACTAGCCCCCTCTAGTGGTGGCTACTCCCTACTCTCCACATTCCAAGGCAATCTTATTTTTTCCAGACAGGTGATCACGATTACCTTAGATACAAACATCCACCAGTTCATTCAGGCAGTCTATAACTCATGCTAGACATTTAGAAATAATGAAGAAGTCTAACTCAGTAGTGGGCTCAGTATATGAAAACATAAAGAAGAGGAATTTCAACAAGTTTTCTAGATTGATATTTCTAGTGAAAATCCTCAGTATATTTAGCATATTCCATGTTATTTATCTTGAATTTTTCTCACAATTAAAAAGATGTCTATTGCAATAATGGACATGGAGGTTTAAGAAATGAGTGGAAATGTTATTTGCTACTAAGTCTACAGATGAATCTTGGAACCAAATAAGTGGAATGCAAATTAGAAAGAGAAACCTAAATAGCAAGAATATTTCAAACTACTAAATCTGCACTGTCTTCTGTTTGTTTTTTTAGGAAGCCTTAACAGATTTTACAACCTATTAAGTTAAACCAAACAAAAGATGGGTTGGGAATTCAACAAGCAAAATGTGCTCACCCACAAAGACCAGGTTGCTGTAATTCTCCAACATCACATCAATGCACAAAGCCCTCTGAGCAGAGTCCAGGCATTCCCACTCCTCCTGGGAGAAGTCCACTGCTACATCCCTGAAGGTCAACACACCCTGAAACACAAAAGAATGGTTTGACCAAGTGCTACTTGGATGTGCTTTCCTGGATAGAAGGCAACACAATGTAGAGAAGGAACTAAGATAATTACTCAAAAATAAGATTTCTCATTACAGTCACATTCTATCATGAATGATGCAACTCTGCAAAAAGAGGATGAAACAACTGTCTTACAAGCAGTATACATGACACAAAAAATAAATTTAAGTTTTAGACATGGTTATCTCTCTGTTATGGATGTGGTGTTTATGTCACATAGGATCTTATTATACATGTCTCTGCTTTAAATGCTGTATCTGTAGATCATTTGAAAACACTGACACATATCAATCCTGTCTGTATTTATGGCATACATGACTCTATTCTAACAGAGTCAGGTGGGATGTTTACACTCTAGGTCCAATGGCACACCATTAATTAGGAAAGAGGAAGGTATAGACAGCAGAATATATGATTAATTTTATAGAGGAGAGTTTTGGATTTTTCCCACAGTAGCAGAGAATGTAACAGCACTACGTACTATCAATTTTAGCATTGACATATAAGGTAAGTAGGCAATGGAGTTAATATTATGACAATATTTGGACAAGTATGAATAGAGAAAAATCTGCATCAGTATTATTTGATTAAATTCAAAAATTCCCTAGGAATATGCAAAAGCTAACAGAGACAAATGACAATTTCAGAAATTTTTAAGAGTATTTCACTTCACTCACAAACAGTAATAAAAATTGAAGGAACTGTAAGAACTGTATCAAAATATGTTCAAGGTAGAGGTAAGAGAATCCATACCAGAGAAACTTTGAATAAAGCAAATAGCATGAATTTACCAAAAATTAAATTAATTTAATACCAAGGAAATAAAATTGCACATCCACAAATGGGCTAAACAAACAGTTTTCAAAGACAGAATTTCTACTGACCAACAAATATTGAAAAAGTGCTCAGGATCACAAAAAGGCAACCATGGAAATGCAAATTACAACTACTGGGATATAGCGACTCACCCAAGACAGAATGGCTGTCATCAACTAAACTGCAATAAATGTGAGATGGCACAGGGACAGAAAGGAGCCTTACTCACTACTGATGGAGGGGAGGGTGTAAATTAATACAGCTAATGTGGGAAACAGTTTGGAGATTACTGAAAATAACTGAAGATAGAACTAACATATGACCCAGCCGGACAGACCCAAAATGTGTAATATTCAGTGCAGTCATCACTTTTAGAAAGAAAACACCATGTTTTTGCTCATGTGCATTATGTCACAGTCACATGTGCATATAGGGTAAATGTTAATGAGGACACAGTATAACTTGGAGAAAAGAGAACAGGAAGGTTAAATTATCAGGGACTGAATGCAGGTAATGAATCCAGTTACGGAAAAGGATATTAAGCTAAGAGTTTTTCTAGTGCTAATTCGGAGAATGTTTTTTGGGGTTTGGGTTGTGGATAAGGAAATCAAAATATATTCAATTGTGAAATATGAAATCCCATGTGAGGCTCCAGAGCTTCTGTGCCCTGTGACGACTCTGCCTGCATAGACCACACTAGGTTTTATAGACTTTGGGTTTGATTACTTCAGTGCGTGATTTTATTGCTGTCTGTTCACAGAATTGATCAGGATAAATTTTTTTTTTAAATTCTCACAGGCAATATATTAAAAGCTTTTAATCCATGAAAGTAGAACATACATAGAGAGTGGAGAGGACCACTGACCTGTGATATATTTACTGGAGAATTAGCCATTTCTTACTGTTTCGCTTCTTTGAATTTCTCTTTCAGGAACAATGAACACATGGCTCACTTCCCTATAAAATAAAGGATCAGAATGTAGCAGTAATATTGAAACCTGTTAGATAACAATGTCAAACCACATGCAAAGAGCCAAAAAGGAGAATATGACCAGGTGTCTGGTCAGTGATCCTAAGACAGGAGAGCATGGAAAGACATTTGAAGCTTGAAGAGAGAAATCACCATCAAGCATCTTGTTACACAAAGAACAATACTCTCTTAAAATTGATAGAGACCAAGACAGCCACCAAACAACACAATTGATTTCACTAAAGCGGCACTGCAGATAATAAATTAGAAGCAATACATACAGCAGTGAGTCGGAGGAATTTTCCATGAGAACATGGGAGATAATAAATTTCATGTGAAGAGTAGATAATTACAGGAGAAATGAAAAGTAATCATTCATGAGCAAGACAGCAAACCACTATTTCTCACAAACACAAAAAAAAAAGGAAAAAAACACAAAAAAAAAAAAAAAAAAAAAAAAAAACAGGTCACACTGAAAATCAAAATAGAGAATCCTCAAATAAATAAACAAACCCTCAAAACTCGACATCCTACTCCACAGATATATGGTTACCCATGTTCACTCCTAATCTCCTCACAATAGCTATAAAATGGAAACAACCTAAATGACCCTGAACTGGATGAATGGATAGTGAAAGTGTAAATTTTCAGCTGTAAAGAAAATTGAAATCATGGGATTTGCAGGTAAACAAACAGACTTGAAAAAGATCATATTGAGTGAGGTCACCCAGATCCAGAAAGACAGACAGCGCATGTTCTTTCTCATAGGAAGTTCCTAGCTGCACATCTTCAGATGTGAGTCCACAACCTGGAGTGAGTGCAGTAACCAAAAAAGGAATAAGACAGCACTGGAAGGTGGGAGGGATTAACAGGGACGTGAGTAACAGGGAACAAGTGATCTCTAGGGGAAAGTGGAAAGACAGTGATGAGGATTTAATTATGCAGAACACCTGGATATAAACACAGAAGAATGAGGGAAAAATAATAGTAAGGGTGGCTGGAAAATTCATATGGAAGCCACTTGTTTCTTGACTACTATCCATCAATGTGGTGATATCTTGTTTGTAAAAATAAAGCCTGTCTGAGGGACAGAGAATGGAGCTAGGTGTTGGTGGCGCACACTTTTAATCCTATCAATAGGGAGGTAGAGGCAGGTGGATCTCTGAGTTGTAGGCCATCATGATCTACAGAGCGAGGTCTAGGCCTGTCAGAGCTACACAGAGAATCCCTGTCTTGGAAAAAAAAATCATTTCTACTCAGAAGGGGCACCAGATCGCATTGCAGAGTGTTGTAGACCACCATGTAGTTACTGGGAATTAAACACGGGACCTGTGGAAAAACAGCCAGTGCTCTTAACCTCTGAGCCATCTCTCCAGCCCCCACCCCTTTTTTGAGGAAAATGCTGAGAGATCAGAGAGAAGGAGCAATACACAGCTACACCTTATCTCCTTAGCATCTCAGCAGACAAGAGAGGGAGGGACTGTTTCTCCCTGCTTATATCCGTTTTAGACCCAGGCATATCACTTCCTGTCTGTCTGTACAGACCTAAGGACCTCTATGCTTAGCTAGAGGCAAGCTCCATTCTCTGACCTTCAGACAAGCTTTATTTATATAAGCAAGATTATCAGCACACATCAACTACAAAATTCCTACAATACATAAAGTCTCTGACCAACTGTAGTTAGCTATTAAGTGATAATTTCCCAAATGTATTGAGGATGCTCCTCACAAGAGCCACAGAGTTTCCACCAAAACAAGCAATGCCAGGAGTAGGGAGCCTGCTTTGAATTTGTTGGACACAGTTGTCGGAGAGAATTCTAAATATTACAGGGTATTGCTGTTGCACATGGTTGCCTCCCAGAGGAAGAAGATTGAGCTCCTAGTGTTGAAGAAGCCACACAATTTCCAATTTCCACACAAATCCTACAGGACTAGAGATGAACCTGATTTTAAGGCTTGCTGCCTGGCAACAACCTTTCATGGTACCAGAAGGCAACAAGCAACCATCCAAAGGACAGTGCCAAGCAACAGTCCTACTCAGCTGTGACACCTCTGAACCACAACAATGCACTGTATGATAGCCCTAAGGGTGCAAGGGTGGCACACATACCTCAGAGGAAACCAACATACTCTAATTGGACTAAGACACTCTCAACAAGAGAAAACACATGCTGGTACTGGAAACCTACCCACGTCTCCAGGGCTAGGAAAGGCATGGATCTTGGAGGAGAACCCCAAACCACTACTTTACTGCAACAAACCACAAGATCACACAGTAATTACACAGCCTACAAATCACCAGATAACTCAGAAGAATTAAGGATTCTTCTGATGGATGAAACTAGCACAAAGCTGTACCTGGTGTTATAATCTCATGAATAAATTGGCTGTGTCTTGCTATAGATTCTTTCTGTAGCATTTTCCTTCCTGTAAAAAACTTGGGATTTACTTCCCACAGTTCTGCACCATCTGATCTTTCACAGGCAACAAATTTCTCCCATGCATTTTGAGTTTTACTGATTACACTCCCTAGCTATGTGTAAAACCTGTTCTCCATTAACAAGTCCTAGTTTGCTGATTGCGTTCCTTAGCAATGTGGGAGGCCTGTTTCCCACTATCAGACCCTTGTTCTGCTCTCCTTTGTTAACTGAAGAGATCTAGCTTCCTGCACTTAATTATCCTCACTGACAGGCATTGGTCAGTGTTTAGAGCCCAGGCAAAGGCATCTCAGCTAAGACTTTCCCAAACATCCAAGGATATAGAATGACTACACCTCCAAAGTTGTTGATTCATAGCTGTCTAGATGGATAGAAAAAAAATAAGCCTGCCCTTGGCTTTGCTGTGTCCAATAAGAGAGGGCCCCAAGGCTTCAAGGAGCCGACAATACCAGAATGAAAGCATAAGAAAGTTTTTAGTTCCAATAATCAGCTAACAGGGGCTTTATTCTGTTGGGAGAGTTGAAGCCCCAACCACAAATGCAAGGCAAATTTAAAGGTAAAAGGGGAGAAGGGAGTCCTGAGACCACAAGTCTCATGTTGCAAGTTTCCCATGGTTACAGAGATTACCTAGCACACAGTTTCCATTCAAGGTTATCATGAAACAAAGGGCCTTGAGGAAGGCAGTAATTGTCACCTGGTTAGGTTACGAATAATTGGCACATCTGTGGGCCGAGGGCTTATGATCAGTGCACATCCTGTGATCTGAAAGTTTTATGACCCATAGGGCAAGAGGCTATCTGGTTCCCAGTCTTCTTAAGGCAAGGGGGTAGGGACAGATTTCTGTTGCAGCTGCTAGTGGGTTCGAGCTTCTGGTCATGTACTCCATGTTCAAAGGGTTCTCTCTTAGTTTGGGTCTTTTATTTTCCCCCCCTCATAGGCTTTACCTAACTAGCAGAGAGAGAAGCAATAACCTAAACTAACCCTGCACTAAAAGATTCTCAAACTTCTTGTTTTATTAAGTCAAGATTATAGCTCAGAAATTTACTGTCCCCTCCTGTTTCCCCTGAAAAGATAAAGACAAAGGTAATCAGCCCATTTACTCATCCTCAGGGAAAAGTAAACTTTCCTGAAGGCTTGTGTTGCCACTGAGGCCACAGCAGTGGAAGACTCCAGGTTTTGCTTCTTGTGCAAATTAAACTTAGACCCTCTCTGTGACCCACAGCCCTATGCAACTAAAGCTAAAAGTTTCTCCTAGCAGTTTTAGTTTTTCCTCTGTGTGTAAATTTTATCTGCATACTGACCCTGAGAAACTCAAGCCTCATATTGTATTATAAAAAGAATCCCTGTTGCAAATGTATGTATACCTGTAACGCCAAGAACTGGCGTAGACAAAGAATTTGAAAGACAAAGAAATGGAGAGATAGAAACAGAGAAACAGAACAGCAAGATAGAAAGATAGCAAAGGAAGAAGCATAAAGAACATGCAGAGGAGCAATTGTGTGTGAGTCAATTCCTTTTTCCTTCAGATTTTAGTTTCCTTGCTTCTTTATAGTTCCTTTTTTTGAACCTGAGCAAAAAATTTAGAAGCTGGACTTTTTTTCCTTTTTCCCTTTTTCTTTTTTCTTCCCATTTTTTTATTTGAATTAGAAACAAGATTGTTTTACATATCAATTCCAGTTCCCTCTCCTTCCCATCCTCCCCCCAACTAAAACCCTACCTATCCCAAACCCTTTCTGCTCCCCAGGGAGGGTGAGGCCTTCCATAGGGGGTCTTCAGAGTCTGTCATATCCTTTGGGATAGGGCCTAGGCCCACCCCCTGTGTGTCTAGTCTCAGGGAGTATCCCTCTATGTGGAATGGGCTCCCAAACTCCATACCTATGCTAGGGATAAGTACTGATTTACTACAGGAGGCCCCATAGATTTCTGAGGCCTCCTCACTGACACCCACTTTCATGGGGTCTGGATCAGTCCCATGCTGGTTTCCCAGCTATCAGTCTGGGGACCAAGAGCTCCCCCTTGTTCAGCTCAGCTGTTTCTGTGGGTTTCACCAGCCTGGGCTGGACCCCTTTGCTCATCACTCTTCTTTCTCTGCAGCTGGATTCCATTTCAGTTCAGGGATAAGTTGTGGGTGTTGGCTTCTG